GAAAAATAACTTGAATCAGGTTTTTTTTCTGAAATTATAATATAATCTGGTATAATAATGATAACAATAATAAATCAATATCGTATTTTGATAAATGCTGATGATTTTAGTGAATCACCCAAGCATGATTTAATCAGAGGACACAATGGAAATCATATCTTGGATTACCAGGATTACAAATGGAAGGAAATTAATAAAAATTAGACAAGCTTGGTTGTTTAGCGAAATTCGCCAATTTAAAAGTAAAGAAAAGAATAAAATAAAAGCTCGACGAGCGCAAGGAACTACAATTAAGCTGGTTGAAGCGTGGCTGAGTTGTTCCATTGAGAGAATTGGTCCGTGCAGGGAGCCAACTATCGAGCAGAATTGAGAGGCTGTGGGGTATAGAGGGGGTTTCGCAGATTATCAAGCATCAGTTGTCGGGAAGAATAAGCAGCCGGCAACCGTCATTTAACTTTAACGCTCCAACTGCCCCCCTTTCCCTCGTTCAGATCGTCCCGCGCTCTGCTCACCCTGAACATCCCTCGAGGGCTACCACTAGTCCATGCTAATTAAATCTGCCTTCGTATACTCTTCTGCACTTACTTTCTGACCTCTACTTTCTACTGTTGTTTCTACCACTTTGTCTTGCATTTTCTCTATTTCTGTCCATCAAAAGATGCTCTACCAGTCATGTTCATTTAAGTTATCAAGAACTTGCTAACTTTCTGGATTTGTATTAGCATGTACTACTTTTCTAATATTATTGATTGCTAGCAATTGTTCATCCACCAAAGCAATAAATGTAGGTAGAAGTATTTGAATATTTTTTAATCTTTTCAGTGAAAATTATGCAACGATTAATCTCATCATGCGTAGTAAAACAAAAAAAATCCAATGAAAGATATCCCGATTTCACCACAAAATAAAAACTTTAGAATGAATATAAAAATATGCATATAGGCAAATAGAACAAAAACAGACAATGCTTTTATTTCTATAACTATTTTCTGTATACACCAACCCTAGCGCACAGGAAAACCTACGAGGGGGTTGGAACCAGGTGGATGTGTTATTCGTTTCTACACAATGCCATCATTTTGAGGTATTGTGTCAGGTCTACGTCCTACGAATTTGTTGCGAATATGTACTTTCTTCACTCAGCACAACAGATCGTGCATAAGGCTTTCGTTCAGTATGTTCTATTCATTTTATTCATCTCCACTAGTAGGAAAAAAAATGTAATCTTTGAATACATAACGTTAGATACTTCAAAAAATTTCCTTTATCATCTTGGTCTTTTTCTTCAATAAAAAATGTAAGATAAGTTTGAAAAAATACCATTTTTCTTTGAAAAATATGTGTTTAGTCTCTGAAGACAAAGAGTATTATAAAAAGACAATAAGAAAGCAAAGAGGAAAGAGAAAGATATATGAATAGTGAGTACACAGAGTCGTGTAGGTATAACGTCTGTGATGAGCTTTATGATTGGAAGAAAGAGCAGAGGATGCAGTTAACAATGCGTAAAAGAAAGAAAGAGAATGTCAAGTGGACATTGTTGACGGTGACAATGCCGCTGAAATTGTCGGGGAACAAAGAGGTCTTATGATGACGCTGCTGGCGAACAAGCCAGCGAATTGAACGAGTTGTATCCATGGATGGGGTACCTAATATCTATTCTCCTCTCCAACTTAACTATCTAATGTGAATAAATTGTTAAATAAACGATTGAATTGATTTTTCCCTGCTGCGTTGAGTACTCAATGCTAGGGTGTTTAGCAAGAAGTTAGTCTAGAATTAATGATACTAATGAGATCAATAAGTCTTTTATTTTTTCCAAATGAATCAATTGTTCCAATCAATTTAACCCATCAGTGATCAGAGAAGCTTTTAAAACCATCGCTAGCAGAAGTGAAACACTCCCAGTTGTTGATGGTAATCTTACAGATCAAGTGAAAGCACTGATGCTAAAAGTTACAATCAAGTTGATAATGACTTTTTTAAACAGTTGATAAGAAGAATTAGAAAAGAAGGTTGATAGAGTTGGGAAACTGATATATTTTTGGATAAAGCTGAAGAATTCATCCAGAATTGCTGAAGACCCTATAGATCCTTGGTAGTAGGAACATTTTTGTAAGGTTACTGAAAGCTCGAGCCAGCATCCAAAGGATTGTTAAGTTTTTTCTTCCTCCAAACTCTGAATGTGAAATTCTCTCTATTCAAAGAATAAGTAATTTATTCATGAGCAGAAAGTATTAACATCTTCGTAAAATATCACACCGTTCGTTTAAGACGAAATCACTTGGAAGTTTTGGTATATAGAGAGAAAGGAGTCTGCAATGCAAGCGGGATTACGTTTAACTGTGCAAGAGAGTCTTCAAAGTGAATCTTCCAATGTATAAGTATACACAGGATGTGTATAGACTACTCTTGCAATGAAGATGATGACGGAAGAGAAGTGCTACCACCAGCAACTCTATAAGGGGTGGATCTAGAAAGCCTTATACTTACTAACGTATGCAGATAATCGGTACAAAGCCTTTCGTAAGATTACAAAGGAAAGCAACTCCGACCTGGTACTCTATATATCTAAACTTGCTATTGTTATATCGTTACGAGGTATACATTTCTAAAGACTTGATCTCATTTTTTTTAAACTGAAAATACATTTAAAATCGATCACTAGAAAAGTTCTTAACCTTTTCTTCGTACTCTCAACATCTTACTTTGATAAAAGTCTCCGGAAGTCCATTAATCACCGGGTGCCTGCATTGTCGTATTCAGTCAGCCCGGCATTCAAGACTCCAATATTATCAATACCCACCGCCAACTACCACTACCTCAAAAGCTGCTGTATAAAGAGAGTTCCAAGCAGGTTTATCAATAGAACGCCAGGACATGCTCATCGACCTCACCGACGACCTATCCCGTCATGAAAACCACGTCGATATGTTCTTATGCGCTTCATGACCTTTCAAAAGTTTATATGCTTTCACGAGAAACGGAAACTTCGCTCTTTCCTCTTGATTTCAATCATCAAAATCTCAACGATTCTCCTTATGAAAAAAATTCAAGACTTTTGATCAAATTTATTGTATGAAATATCTTTTTTTTTTGTTCCTGCTGATGCTTAATTATATTTCATCATCAATTTAGTTTCTACAAGAGCACAATCATTTGACTATTCAACTATAAGTTACATTCTGCTACTAATAAGCAGACTAGTTCTCTCAAAGTTTCAACTAATTAAGCTAAATAACAAAATTGAGATCTATTTTATCTGAATAAGAGTTTGATAGCATTGGAGAATTTTTAATTATTTTAATCCCCAACATCAACCGATAACTACTATCACCAACTTTTATTATTTTAGGATCATCATCTTTCATTATGCCACCATCTCCAGACATTTCACTGGATGTATTAACCTATGATATATAGCTGTAGCAAACTTTTAGCAACCTAGATCTGGAGATCCTTCAAAGGTTTCAATCGAAAGCTTTGAGACTAATCCTGTATGCTCCAAGGAGAATATAAACGTTGTCATTCACTGTTGAATAGAAGATAGAAATGATCAGGAAAATTTCAATACTCTAGCACAATCCAAGAAAAATATTTCAATGAACTGGTATCAAGTTTGCTGGAGAAGATTCTAGTTGAAAGATCTTTTACTCCAATATTCTTACAGTAAAATTAAAAATAATAAAACCAAGTTAATGACCTAGAAATCATCATGAAAAAATATTTGTGTATAATTGAAAATAAAATTATTATAGTTCTTTTCAACTAACTTTTTATAAATAAAATACCAAGGAAATGCTTTTTTATTTTATACATATATAACTATACATCAATTGGGCCATTCTTCATAGAAATGTCCACCCAACTCCTATAAACATCGACAAAAGAATATATGCCAAGGGTGGGTGAGTTTTGTATACGCAATACCACGAGAAAGAATTGTTTTGTTCCTTTGCTCTCATCATTCTGTACGTTTGGCATGTATACAATTCTACTTTCGCCTTACTACGATGTTCCATCGAGCCCTCTAGGTATGCATCTGAGAAACAGAGGATCTGACTAAAAAAGGAAGTGAAACAATAGTCGGCTTTGTGGACGAGAGACATGGAAAAGCTACAGCAAAGAGAAATTCTGAGCGATTGAAATGCTCCGGGAGTCGTGTTCATCTTTTTCAAATGGTCGACGAGCCATTTTTTTTCTATATTTCAATGACCAAATGTGAATTCACACAAAACCAGTAGATGATGGTCCCTTTTCTTTTTTTATCAAAATTAAAATGACACAAAGATAGTCAAAATTAAAAATAGAAAAAAAATCATATCTATACATGTAGTCCGCGAGAATTCCTATATTATTTATTGACGCCATCATCTATCGGGTGTTATTTATCATTTGATTCACGAAAACAAAATTGACTCATTGAACAGATGTCTGTTTTATTTAAATCAAGATTCTTTTGTGCTTTCGTGCATGTAGTTTTTAATGACAGACACAGATTATGAGAAGAAAAAAATGAGAATAAACAAACAATGTTTGAGTAGACTCACCGTAGTTGTGGAGTAGTGACGCCATGGTATCCTTACTCCAAAAGTGCACTGATTCTTAGTTGAATATTACACATTTAACAAATAAAACACTGATAATTTTATAATATTCATATTCACAACTGTTTTATTATCATTTTAGACCATAATTCAATGACTGACAATAAGTATTTCTATATAAAAACATTAAAAACACGAGCACAAATTTTTAGAACTACCGGCAAATGTGACACGCTCAGAGAAACTGAACCCACACGATTGGGCGCGAATATTTAGTGCGCGCGCGTCTCGATGGCAACGCCATCTAGGTGCGCGCGAAATAAATTCAACGAATTTAAAATGTGATTACATAAATCAATAAAAAATAATAACATATGTATGTCTTTAAAACTTTAAATTTGTTTATTCTAAATAGTTTTATCTACTTATAATTCAGTTTATCATATTATTGACATTTCAATAAATAAAAATCATTTTTAAACAACTTCTTCATTGTTTATTGTGAAATTAATTTAATATTTAATAATTCTTTTTATAAATTTCACATTGTGTGTGATGAACGCAATGTCCATTAAATGGTAAACGCATGTGATCTTTTTTACACACACATCCTTCTATACATGAGTTAAGTTTAAAACACGGACTCTCCACCATGGAATCTTTATTGAAATTTTCACAAGTCCTTTCACAAGATGGATTGGCATTACATCTACTATATTCTTCTAATTCGCTGCATTTTAAATTCTCTTCGAATTGCTTACTCAATTTATTTTCTAGGATTGACTACTATTATTTAAAACCATAACAATAATTTTTTTTTATCAAAAAAAAAAAAAAACTTACCTTGACGATCTTCACTATTGACAATGGGACCATCAATGTCTTCATCACTTTGAGTACGAACAAAAGAGCCAAAAAGTAAAAATGTAAATACAAAAGCAACCCTCATACTGATTACAGAGTATGAATGCTTTTAACAGAAAGAATATTTTGATGGAGTATTTAAATACGAAAAGTTTTATGCTAATACATTTACTCGTGGACTCATTGGATATACAAAAACGATAAGATTACAAAACTAGTTAGTAGTAATGGATTGTAATTTATTTTTCCTGTAAATACCTTGATGAAAAAAAAACTATTGAAAGAAATAAGAAACTTTTTACTATTACAATTTTATTCTAATTTCTATTATGTTCTGATTGTCTTGCTTCTTCAGTTTGTACTGAACTATATTACAGAGAAATTTGTATAAATATAGTTCACTAATGTAAAAAAATATTTTAACACAGAAAAATAACAGAATTATTCAAATAGTTATTCAATTGAATGATTAATAAAAATGTACGACTCTAACTTAATTAAACTTCTAAAGAAGTATCTGATATTTAACAAATCTATGAAGAGTTTATTGTTGTCAATCAAATAGTCTGAGGAGAATATTTTTCAGGGTAATAATATATTTTTGTTTGAAGATGTACATAAACTGATTAATATAAGATGTACTTAGTCATACAAGTAGTAAGTAAATACATGATGATGTAACTTAAAAAGTACACTTATATGTTCTACTTACAAAGTCTGTGTAAAACTGGATAGTTAACAAAAATTCAAGGATTAAAAATAGGCTCAAAAATATTTTGATGAAAGAACAAATTTTTATTCTAATTTTTTTTTTTTCATTTATTATGGTTTGATAAATTGAGTTAAATTTTATAAAATGATGATCGCTAAATATTAGCAAAAATATCGTAACTATACAAGATGAATTTAGATCGCAGACATTGCGATGGTTGAACTATTTTTAATCCACAACATTTAATTAGAAATTTTCGAATCACTGTTATTTAAAACGTTTCAACTAAGGTAGACGACGACTGGACGAAGAGAGAAAAGATATGATGTTGAAGTATTTCGAGATTGTCTACCAAATTTTAGCAGCAGCTTCTCTTCTGATCAAAACATTTTTGCTTCGTTGCTTCATACGTTCAATAAAGTTAGCCTTTCCTTCCATGTCAGCTGCAGCAGATTGACTCGCCTCCTTCTAACAACAAATGAGATTAATTTGGAAGCTCTCTTCTCTCTTCATCATCATCATCAATTGCTTGTAATGTACGCGATCATCATGTAAACTTGAAGAAAAAAAATTGTAGAGTTGATCTAACCTAACCAACCTTGTTCGCAGTAGCTTCGCCACCTTCGGTTGTGTCCCAGCGCTCGTAATCATCGTCATCACGCTCTTCACCTTCACTTAGAGGCCCATCGTGCCTCTTGTTTGGTGGTGGAACTGGAGTTTGTTCTTCGTGGACATCATCACCACCTTCCAGCATTTTATTTATCTTTTCCTTTGCTTCATCAACCTTTCTCATAGGATCAGGAGAGAAACTTCGATCACTGTATCTATCTCTTGAGCTTCTGCGATCACGGAAGTCTCTTCTATCTCTGAAGTCACGATATCCTGGCTTATTATTATGGAAGTAACGTCCTCCTCTGTTCCCTCGGCCGCGGTTTTGTGGTCTATTATTAAATCCACCTCCTCGATTACGATTATTAAAACGATTGTGCTGATTATTATTATAAAATCTATTACGATTTTGGAAGTTACCAGGGCCACCTCCGCGGTGATTCTGATTATTGAAATTTTGGAACCGAGGTTTATAATACGTTCCTCTGTTGTTGTAAGGTCTGAACTGTCGTTTACGGTAGTAACCACGATCATTAGACCTACTACGGCTGCGACTTCGCGAATAAGATCTCGACCGTGATCTAGAACGAGATCTGCTATATGTTCCTGAAGGAGAACGGCTATATTTTCGTTCATAACTGCCAGATCTACGATTGGAATAAGATCTTGAGCGAGATCGTCGTGGAGATCGCGATCGAGAACCACTAGAACTACTTCTCGATCTGGATCTGCTACGAGACCGTCTTGCAGGTCGATCTCGACTCATCCTCTTGGAAACTTCCCCACGTGATCCAGCTCGTTTTCGTTGGGAACGACCATGTCGCTCATCTTCGCTATCCGAGTCAGTTCTTGGACCTTTTTGAGTCTTCGATGGTGGATGCGGACCAGGTGGTTCTGGTGGATGACTTTGACCAATAGGTTGGAATTTTCCTCCCAAGTTTGAGTTGAATTTATTTGAATTCGATGGTTGAGACATCATTGAATTATCTTTATATGATTGGAATTTATTTTGTGGTTGTGGAGTTGGATACTTAACAGGAGTTTGCTTTTGAATGGATTCTTTAGTCGATGACATTGAATTCGATGTTGATGTTTGATTTGAACGTTTATCTTGTAATTCACGTTGCATTTGTTTACGAACATTAAATGATTTGTCCATTCCTGAACGTTGAAGCTTATCATCAATATCATCATTATCTTCATTTTCAACTTTTATCTTTTCTGGTTGATGAAGATCTTGCCATTTTCCGCTCGAATGAGTATCCTTTTGTCGTGCAGCTTGAGCAGCTTTCCATTTAGCATTCAAAGCTGCTGTGTCCAAAGTGGGGAACTTCGGTTCGGAATGAAGAAGTTGGGATTCTTGTTCAAATAAATCCGGCAATGGTTTGCGTTGACCCTCTGCAAGGTAATCGACTGATGTACCTATTTATTACAAATATTCAATGGGGTCAAAGGATGATTTAAAATAAATAAATGATTTATTTAAATAAAAATTATTTGACGTTAAGGGAATCATTTGAATAGTTAATAAATTTTTGTTTTTATACATCAAAAACAACAAACAAACCTTTACGTTGTTGTGCTCCCAATGACATTCTTGGATCTCGTTCATGGTAAGCTTTGGAGGCTTCGTCACGTTCTCGTTCTCTTTCGCGTTCTCGTTCACGTTCTCTGTCACGACGCATCTCGTCTTCTCGGCGTGAAGTCTCCGTAAGCTTTTCCGCGTTACTAAGGGGGGAAGGCATGTCATTATACTGAGCGTAATACCTAGAGTAGAATATAAAGAAAAAACACAAGAAAAAATTACGGTCATCTAATCTTAACGGCATTCAACACAAATTATAAAAATCTAAAAAAATTACGTTGATTTCACGGTGCAAAGAGTGATGTAATATTTAAAAAAATGAAGAAGTATTATCGAAAAAAAGTTATAGAATAGAAAAAAAAAAAGAATTAGATAGCCATATTAATCCTAATAAAAAGTCTCAATGAGACTTTTTTTCAACACAGAAGACCTTCTTACCTTTTCAGTACTGCTGTTTCTTTTTCAACTTTAGCATAATAAGCACTCAACTTTGATTCAAGTTGTTCCAAATCGGGTAAAGAAGATTTTCTCAAAGCTTCCAAATCACGTTCAAGTTTTTCCTTATTTCTACGTTTCTTTCTTTCTTCCTTCTTTTTTTTCTTACGTGACTTTTTATCATCTTTGTCTTTTTCTTTACCTTTCTTTTCCTTCTTTTTTTTCTTCTTCAATTTATCACTTTCTGATTGTTTTTTCTCCTTTTCTTTTTCACGTTTCCAACGAGCTGTTTCCTCCAAGAATTTACGTACCTATTTTTGCGAGACATAACAATAATATTTTAAAAAATGCTTACGTAATTTATAATAAAAAATAACATTTGAATAATACTACACATTTTTTTAGACTAAATAATGTTCATTAGTAAAATAAAACAAACTAATGACTTATAGAATCTTTCAACTGTTAAATCAAAATAAATAACAGTTTCATATGCAAATGAAAAAAGAAGATCAAAATATTTCTAAGAAGTAAATACTAATAATAAAAATAATGAAACTAACTTTATCCTCATAGTCAGAATCATCCTTCGTTTGTTCAAGGAATTTTCGTACTTTATTTTCGTAGTCATCCTTATCACGTGAATTACCAGTATAAGATTGGGAGCTAAGAGGATCATGAGATCCACCAGTCGAAGAAGCAGCAGGCGGATTATTATATTGAGCCATACGTTTGCTTAATGGTGACAATGAACCACGATGATCTTTCTTATGCTTTCTCTTACGATTTGGTGATCGTGATGTTGATCGACCTGAACTTCCAGATGATGAAGAGCTACTAGAATCTGAACTTGATGAGCTTGAAGATCCACTTGATGAAGAACTTGAACTAGAACTCCATCTTTGCCGCTTTTTGGACCTTGACTTACGTTCTTTCTTTCGTTTCTTTTTGTCTTTCTTTCCATCAATAACTTCAGTCTCGCCATCAAATGATTTAAATGTCTCCAAAGGATTGAGAGATCCAGATGCTCCCATTGTTTTAGTCTTAATATATTCAATTGAATTTCTAGCTTCTTCGTGATATGGTGCTATTGCTAAACAATTTTCGTAAGCTTTTTGTGCGTCTTCGAATTTTTTCTCATCCTCATAACTTCGACCCAAGGCTACTAAAGTTTCTGCCATGTATTTTCTTGCATTTGCATGTGTTTGATTAAGCTTAAGAGCCGTTTCAAAGTCGTCAATAGCTTTTTTGAAACTTCCACTGTTTGCATATCTAGAATAAAAAGAAATAAGATCTGATAAATATAATAAATTTTTTTCTTTGTTAACAAAACTGAATTTTAAGCGACTTTACCAATTTTAAATCTCAACTTTAATCCTTGAAATTTCTCGACAATGTTTTTGACATTTAAAAAATAATGGCTATTGTTATCACTTCTTTTCTCCCTGCTTCACACTCATAAATTGATGTCTACGACATTGATTTTTAATTAACGTCAAGAACATTGTCAAGGCAACTCATACCATTTGTTTACAAGGTTTCATACCCACAGGGTTGACTTAAGAAGATTTTCATTTAATATCAATATATTCAGATCTAAAGTCACTCGTAATATATCAAGTTCTATAGTTTAAAGAATTTTGTCATAAATTTGTTCCAAAAGATCATTTTATAATTTTTTCATCATTTGATTTTGCTAAAAATGTTTGAACGACAAAGTTTTAATAGATGTTTATTTGAAATAAATATTTTTGTTATAAAAAATTATATAAATTCATTATTAATACCTACTAAATGACTATATTATTACTTTTGGAGATGTACTTATTACTTACAAAGCGCCTCGAGCAACGAGTCCTTCAACATTCTTCGGATCAACAGTGAGAGCTTTGTTGAGACATTGAAAAGCTTCAGTATGGCGTCCAGCCTTAAAATGATCAATTCCTTCAGCAACACTCTTGAAAGCCCATTTGCTAGCTTGAGATTGTCTTAACTCCGTAGCATATTCATGAGGAGGAAATCTCTCTCTGTAATCATAAAACGGAACCAACCATCAGACTCGCTATAATCGATGAGCTTGAAATGCTATCTTCGCTCATTAATTCGATATTCACCTCAAGCCCACCATATTAGAGTAGTGTTCCCGTCCAAGACCCATCAAGTCGCAAAGATATTTAATGTTGTTGGGATTGTTGAAGCCAGTACTTTTCTCCAAGATTGTTTCATAACTCTGTCCCTTGTTGTCCATCGCTTTCCTACATGACAAAGCGAGATGTAATGTTAATCGACTTTTTTTTTCTCTTCTCGAAATCTTTCCTTTGATTCTTTCCGGAAGACGAACCAAATGGTAACGTCATGAACAATTATTTCAGACAATCAAATTTATCTTCAATAACAATAATTTTTTTCTTATCCTATAACAACCTGATTACTTATTGAACTCGTCTCTCACCTTTCTCAATCCTAAAGACGCAATTTTTATTTATAGATATGTTTTTAACGTATAATTCTATCATTGTTCTTAATTAGAATGTTTGGTTCAACATAAAAGCACAGCCTATCGATGTATTTTTTTTTAATTTACGCTTTTAAATAAATAGATCTGACACATTTATATGGATTATTAGCTTTGCAACAAAACAAATTGCAATTCTATGAGCTTTATATCCCCAAGTTGAAAAAAACTGCTCATATGTATTTATTTATTAATTTCTGTCAACATCTTTTATAACTGTTAATTGTCATTGCTGTAAGTTTAAATGAGATATTAATGATAATTATAAAACGGAGTATCTTTATTATACATAAAAATAGGCGTTATGCTGTTGAATAATGCGGTTGCTTGGTCTCTCAAGATACAAAAAAGTGCAAATTATAGTATATATAAAAAAAGAAGCATTAATTGATAAATAATAAAATGAAATTGAATTTAAAAAGAGACCAAACAACTGTGCTAATTTTTAATACCTACCGTCAGCTTAACAAAACTCGTATCAGCCACAAATAGATAAATTCTTATCATTATATACTGGAAATTCAATCTCAAATAATTTATGTTTGATTGCCTGCAGCGTTATAATTATTTCGGCTGGTGCTTTGATATTATACAGAGTCACAAACGTAGATACACAACGTGTTGCATGTGGGAATGTGCAGTACACAGCCGTGGATTTTATCAAAGGATTTTCAAATCATGTTGGATATTTTTAAATCATTAACTCATCATCATTATCAACTATTCAACTTTTTAAACCGAATTCCTGCCACCTGGATTCATAAAAACTGATCAGAGACATCAAACAATCTGATTTCATTGACAAATCGTTAATATCACATGACTCCTAGGATTAAAACCGGAGTTTTAACAACTCTCTTCATTAAGCGAACCAATTTTAGTTAATTCACAAAATTTTCGTTCTAAATTATTTTTTTTTAAACAAAAATAACATGTAAAAATATTTCAACGACGTGATGGTCGCAAATCATTGAGTAATATGTGACAATCGTGACTTTGAAGTTTAAACACTTACTTATAGGCTTCTGGTAAATCTTCTGAATGTATAAGACCCATCGGTGGGTGTGGAGCTTGACCCTCGCGAGGAGGTACGTTCATTACAGCTACGATACGTTCTGCATCAACGTTTACTTCACTCACTACGACGCACACGAGATCATTTGCCATGTATCCTCTTGCCACACCTTTTTCAACGGCAGGTACTGTTGCCGTATTTAATATGAGAGCCTAAAATATTTTAATAATATATTGTTTATTGATCATAACAACTACTAGGATATTTTGCTTGAGATAATTTTATACAAAAAAAATCTGAGACTATACCTTTACTCCTAAATCATTAACGACTCTAGGGCAATCACTGCAATTACAAAGAACTTTCAAAAGTAATCCTGTCGCACTTTTGCCCATTACTTGTGCAAAAATAACGTCACCAGTAATTAAACTCTGAAATTGAGAATTGAAACGTGAGTTTTTTTATTATTTGTAAATGTCTTTTACAAAGAACACAAAAATAATTACCTCTAAGAAGTTCCTGATGCGTTGAGACTTTTCCATAGTAACAAAAGAATCGATTCCTGGCATTGTCGCATAAAACTCTGTAAAAATTATATTATTATAAAAATGTGAAATACTCCTGAATTATAAATACAATTAATCTACTTAATCTATCTATTAGCCTCGTAGTTTTTATTAAAAACCGTCATTTTTTCATATAAGCTTGTCATTGTATCAATTCGCTCGAGAATAAGCGTCATATTGTAACATGGTCAATAATTATCTATACCATCTAAAGACTAGATAAGGTTCTCGATATTAATTCATCAAATATTGCCATTTCATATCAGAGTAGTTATAACCTTATAATAAGCATTAATTACATGACATTCAATGGTTACTAAGGTAACTATAAACCGAATAATTTTAATGATTCATCTGTTTGCTTCTTTCAGGAAATTTATTTGCACGCAAATCAACTATACCCCCTTTGAATAGGCTATTGTTTGATCAATAACATTTCCTTTAGTAATTGATATTCCATTTCCTATTATAATATTTAATACAAATAATTAAAAAATATTGCACAATGTCACATGAAAGTCATTGATATTATTCATGAGTCTTTTTATCAACAATTTTTATGACTTTGATCATTTTTTTTCTTCAATTACATTCGATACCGTTCATGGATAAACAAAAATTAAACTAAATACCTAATTAAAAATTGATTAATTTTTGTATTTGTTTATAATTATTTATTTAATGTAGAAAATCATAAGACTACCTGCCACGTAATCAATGTTTTATCATGAAACCAAGTTGATGGAAAATATGAAATGATAATCATCTAAACTATGTTTTAATATCTAATCTTATAAATATTAATAATAGGTAAATAAGTAAATATCGATAATTATCAATAATTTATAACATTTCGAAAAATGTATGTCATTGCTAAAATAGCTCGTAAGTTAGTTAAATAGTGTACTTAAAATACTTTAAATGTGAACTAGTCAAGAGTGTTATCTTACGCAATTTCCGTTGAGCGAGGCTGATAAATAATTATTTGCACTGCTATGGATAATGTACACATACCTTCATCTCCAAGTTCCTGCTTGATGGGCTCAATAGTTTTATCCAAATTCGATTTATCATAAAGAGAATCTGCTTTTTTAGCAATAAATTGTTGTAGTTTGAGCCTTTTTCCTCTATCTCCAAAGCTATAATTCATCATGAATCAATTAGTATCATTTTACCATTTGACTTATTACAAATATATCAAAAATTCTAGAAACAGATAGTATCTAATGGGGAATGCTGGTATCATTCACTACTTTGTAATCAATAGAAAAAATTAGAACAATAGTATGCACTTTAAGATAATTGCATCTAGGACTATAAAGTATTGTTAATCAATAAAGTGAATAAATGAGAAATACCTAAGAGTCTTTTGCCGTTGTTGATAAATTTCGAAGCTGGGATCTTTAAGGTTGAGCATGGCAAGTTCATTTTCATTCCTTTCGCTTTCCCAAACTTTCTGAAGCTGTTGTCCATGGTAATTTAACGTCTGGGCCACCAGACGTGGATCCATTGAATCCATCCTT